GGCATCACTAGACCCGCTAATTCGAACCGCAGAAGATTGATAGCATCAATCTTCTCCCTAGTGTAGACAAGCTCTTAGTCCAACCCCCTGCTCAAAGTAGGATCAGTCCCAACTAAATCTTCCTACAAAAGTGGCGAGGAGTCCTGTGGCACCTTATAGACTAACTGAAGTGTGGGAGCATAAGCTTTCGTGGGCAAAGACCAGATGCATGATGAAGTGGGTCTTTGCCCACGAAAGTTTATGCTCCAACACTTCAGTTAGTCTATAAAATGCCACAGAACTCCTCGGCGCTTTTGCAGATTCAGACTAACACGGCGACCCCTCTGATACTTAAATCATCCAGTTAAGCGCAACATTTTCCTTATCCCTTCCACATTTCAGGGACCTTTACCCAATTCCTAGTGCTCAAGGTGCAGCCCTGTTAATTTAAACACCCACTCTGACCCAATTCCTAGGGCTCAGGGCCTAACTTCCTGCGGGTCAGAAGGATCTTTTGCCATTGAAATAGCCTTACAAAGTAATATTCTTATTCTCTGTTCACTGACAATTCCCAAGCAAGCAGAATACACATACTAAGCATCAGGGCCGGCCCGAGCCATTTTGGCGTCCTGGGCCTGGGCGCGTAGCGCTGCCCCTGGGCACACGGTGCATGCGCGAGCCTGCCCTTGGGCGCACGGTGCATACGCTGCCCAGCCCGGCCTGGCTACTGCTGCTGGCGCACAGCGCCTAGCTGTGCAGGGCCCTGCGGCCGTGGGGGGAAGGGCGCTGCTGGCCGGTGCCGCAGAGGTCGGAGCTGTGGGAGCCGGGTGCGCGGTGCCAGATGGCAGCAATAAGGGACGCTGCGCGTTCCTTACAGCTGCCATCAGGCGCCCCACATCTGTTGGCCGCTGCCCAGCTCACCCACCCCTTAGTCCGGCCCTGCTAAGCACATTGTCATGCTCACTAATCCTGATAAACCCATGCAGACTTTCCCTATTGGCCAGCAAGGTCAGTTCCTCTAGATCCTAGCTGCTGTACATTATGGTCATGCAGAGGAGTTCTGGCTGCTCTGGTCTTCGGCTGTGTCTTGGAAGTGAGTTCTTCCAGGTCTTCCCTCTTTCTTGATGTTCCTTTCTTCTTTTCTTCCTTTTTCCCCTCCTGGTCTCCTTCTTGGACCCCAGTTTCTATAGTGAAACTTGAGTCCTGCTTAGCTAGACCTTAACCAGTTATTTTAGTATAATTTTACTAACCTATCATAAACTACTGTAACAGAATTACCAACCAATCATATGCCACCACCTTAGTTGATTTACACCTTGCAAAACTCATTATACAGCAGACAGAAACAGTTACAACCCAGACAGAGATCACACAAACAATAGGTAAGTCAATAATCATAGAATGAGGATTCCACAACCTCAACTATTGATAAACAGTTTCTTGTCAGATGAAATGCTGTTAAGCTAAGTTTTCTCTACCTATCAATCTGTTTCTTTATATGGTGACGGTGGGGAAGTGGGGGGGGG